TTAGACCAATCAGGTGTTTTAGACGGGCAGAGGTAAAGAGATACAACAAACATAAAGGAAAGCAGCACATCTTTGCATCATTAAACAAATATTCCACAGCATAAGCGCAAATGTAACACATCCTAAACTAATATTCCATAACACCTCATGTTTCATGTAATTTCCTCTTAAATATTTTTTAGCATATACCTTGAAAAGATAAGGCCTTAAGAAGAATCATAATGCCACTGTTACAATACAATAATTGCAAATTGTTATACATTGAAGTAGGCTTCTGATGTATTGTTCTATGAATTTTAGAGTATGTATAGATTTGTGTGAACACCACAATCAAGATATAGGATAATTTTTACCTCCAAAGCTCCCCTGTGCTTTTTTATTTTACAGTCTCAATTCTTTGTTTTTCAAACAAAAATAGGAACCTTGTAAGGTGAAGTACATGTTAGTGAGAGCTATTTAAGTATATATGTATATAAATATATTACATTGTATATGACTTTATTTTCTCTGTCAATTGAAAAATCCACTTTGTTGCTTGCTCCTTTTCTCAAACCGTCAACCAGTCTTCACTAATCTTGGTCAATCTTAAATATGTTCAACATTTAACCAAGTCTCATCACCTGCTGTTGCTTTGGTCGAAGCACCACCATCTTTTCTGCGGATTCCTGTAGTTGCATCCTACCTAGTGTCGTTTCCACCTCTCTCCTCCTTCAGTTACTTTAATTGTAATCTTTTTTTTGATTTTTCAAGACAGGGTTTCTCCGTAGCTTTTGGTTCCTGTCCTGGAACTAGCTCTTGTAGACCAGACTGGCCTCGAACTCACAGAGATCCGCCTCCCTCTGCCTCCTGAGTGCTGGGATTAAAGGCGTGCGCCACCACCGCCAGGCCTTTAGTTGTAATTAATGTATTAAATTGATTCACTTTTTTTTAGAGTGGGTGTCACTATGTAGTCCTGGCTGTCCTGGAACTCACTACGTAGTCCTGGCTGGCCTTGAACTCACAGAGATCTGCCTGCTTCTTCCTGGAGTGCTCTGGCTGGCTTCCTTCTATCACTTTAGCATACTGTGCCACTCTGCTGAGAGAAAACCTCTGCAGCTCCTCTGGAACACATTCATGTATCTAATGTTTCTGCTCTCTTCCATGCACAGGCCCCTGGGGGAAACAGTCTCTGTTTACTAAGTACCTTGAACAGTATGAATAATAAAGTAAGAAAGGGTTCTAGGAAAAACACAAAAAACAAAGTGTAATCAGGGAGCTGGAGAGATGGTTCAGCGGTTAAGAGCACTGGCTGTTCTTCCAGAGGTCCTGAGTTCAATTTCCAGCAACCACAGGGTGGCTCACAACCATCCAAAACGAGATCTGGTGCCCTCTTCTGGCATGTAGGTGTACATACAGGAGGAGTACTGTGTATATTATAAATAAATAAATCTTTGAAAAAGAAAGAAAATGTAACCACTGCCAGGAAGATAGCTTTCCCAGACATGCCAGACTTCCCTGGTGATGCAGACACTATAGGCTTTATGTGACCACAATTCCCCTTGCCCTCCAGTTCCGGGGGAACCTAGTGAGGGATGATTCACTGAGGTTTGCATGGATACTGCGCACACGGAGAGTTTGCACCATGGCTGAGACGTGCTAACCTAAGGAAAGGTCTGGTTTTGTACAGAGAAGGATCACTATCAAACTCGCCGCCGGGGGAGACATTACCTTTATTATTCTGCTTAGGGGACAAACAGATCTTCTCTGGGGAGGAAGGAGAATTCTCACAGCTTTCATATCGCAGGAGAGGCAGCCTCTAAATCTTTGCACAGGGAGTCACTGTCTTTATAAACAAACCTGCCATGTGCCCTGGAGGAAGACATTAACTTCTAGGGCTGTTTTTAGCCTGGGTTTAAAAAAAGGGGTGGGGGAGGGGACTGGGGATGGCTCAGTGGTTAAGAGTGTGACCTGCTCTTGTAGAGGGCCCAAGTTGAAGATCTGGTTCCTAGTACCCTTGTCAGGTGACTCATTAATGCCTATAACTCAGCTCCAGGGGGATCTGATGCCTCTGGCCTCTGCAGGGACATGCACTCATGTGAACATACTGACACCAATACACAAACACATACGTACAGACACAGGATTAAAAATGACTTTTTAAAATTTAAAAAGCTGGGGTAGGATGGTGGTGGTGGCGCACACTTTTAATCCAGCACTAGGAGGCAGAGGCTGGAGGATCTCTGTGAGTTCAAGGACAGCCTGGTGCAGAGAGTTCCAGAACAACCAGAGCTATACAGAGAATGTCTTGAACCTCCCCATCTCCACACACAAAATTTAAATAAAAAAGTAAAATTAAAAAAAAAATCCAGAGGGTGTGAAAGATGGATGCCCTTCCAGAGCACCTGAGTTCAATTCCTGGTGGTTCATAACCACCTTTAACTTCAGTTCCAGGGGATGGTGCCTTCTTCTGGCCCTGTGTGCACCATGCATGCATGTAGTTCACAGGCATACATGTAGACAAAACACCCACATACAAGTAATAAGCCAGCAAAGTGATACATGACTTTAATATTATCACTGGAGGGCTGGCACAGGGGACAGAGGTAGGTGGATCTCTGTGAGCTCAAGGTCATAGCCTTCCTGGGTACACAGTCAGACACGTCTCAAAAAAAATAATGTAACTATATTGTTTATTATTTATTTTTGAGACAGGAACTCACTATGTAACGATGGCTAGCCTGGAACTCTGCAACTCACTATGTAGACCAGACCAGCTTTGAGCTCACACAGATCCTCATGCCTCTGCCTCCCAAGTGCGGGAACTATAGGTGTGTGCTACCTCCTCCTCCTCCTCCTTCTCCTCCTTCTTCTCCTCTTTTCAAGGACTACACAGGGTTTCTCTGAGTAATCCTGGCTGTTCTGGAACTCACACTGTAGACCAGGGTAGCCTCGAACTCAGAAATCAATTTGCCTTTCTCCTGGGTGCTGGGATTAAAGGCATGTGCCACGGAACCTGGCCCAACATTCTTTTTCTACTGCAAAGGAGAATAAACATTGCACTGAAAAGCAATCGGCTATATGGAGTCGTCATTTCTCTAGCTTTGGGAAAGTGTGAAAAACAGTAGACAAAGAGGTAGGAAGATCGCAAAGACTGCCAAAGGGCATGGAGGACACCAGGGAAGCAGCCTTCTGGACAACAGGACTGACAAGCGTGAACTCAGAGACTCTGGCAGCACGCATAGGACCTGCACAGGTCTAAGACAGTCGGGCCCTTGCACTGAGAGGGGAAGTGGATAGGCGTTTCCTTCCCTAGCCCAGAAGCTGCCTTTATTTGACAACTACTCAAAAAGGAAAAAAATAGTTCTCTTCAATGCAGTCTCACTGGGTATACAAACCACACCAAAGGGCGCCCCATGCCGAGCACAGATGGCCAACATAAAACAAACTTAATGGCACTTTTGGAGATGTTTTGCTTTATAATGGCTTTGTTTGATCTTTTTGTTTCTTTGGTTAGCTTTTTTTTTTTTTTTTTTTTTTTTTTTTTTTTTTTGAGACAGGATTTTTTTTCTGTGTAGCCCTGTCTGTCCTGGAACTTGCTCTGTAGACTAGGCTGGCCTTGAACTAACAGAACTGTAGCAAGCTTTCTTGCTGAACTTTCTTGGACCACCAGCCTACAGAGACTTATTGTTAATTATGAAAACTTGGCCTTTAGTTTAGGCTTATCCGCAACTAGTTCTTATACTTAATTAGCTTGTTTCTATTAATCTACATTCTGCCACATGACTTTTTCTTTTCCTCAGTACAGCACTTGCTCCCCATCTTGCTGGTGTCTCTCTGTCCCTCTCTCCCCAGAAATCCTGCCTATCCTCATCTGTCATTCAGATCTTTTTTCTTTTCTTTCCTTTTAAGATTTTTTATTTATATTTTATGTATGAGTGTACTGCTTGTATCCCTACATTCCACTATAGATGGTTGTGAACCACCATGTGGTTGCTGGGAATTGAACTCAGGACCTTTGGAAGAGCAATCAGTGCTCTTAACATCTGAGCCATCTCTCCAGCCCCTAAAATTTATTTATTTTTTATCATGTACACAGTGTTCAGCCTCCATGTATGCCTGCATGCCAGAAGAGGGCACCAGATCTCATTACAGATGGTTGTGAGCCACCATGTGGTTGCTGGGAATTGAACTCAGGTCCTCTGGAAGAGCAGCCAGTGCTCTTAACCACTGAGCCATCTCAGCCCCCTGTCATTCAGATCTTTATTAAACCAATTAGAAAGCACCTTGGCAAAGATACATCTTCACAGCATATAAATATTCTGCAACAGAGATTTGCCTACCTCTGCTTCCTTAGTATTGAGATTAAAGGCTTGTGCCACCACTACCCTGCTGTTTGGTCATTGTTCACCATACTTGTCTTTTGCTTATAGATTATGGTCTCTGTTTTTGCGTTTTTATGGGTTTTGTGTGTGTATCTGCATGTACATGTTTCTTGCACTTTTCCTTTTGGTCTTTTTATTCTGGGTTGTTTGTTTATTTGGCTTCTTGTTTTCTAACGAGAGAGAGGAAGAAAGCATGGAACTGGACTGCTGGGGTCACATAGGGAAGTGGGAGGATCTGGAAGGAGACGAGGGGAAGAAAACCATGATCGAGTATTCTGTATGAAAAAATACTTTAAGGGGCTGGAGAGATGGCTCAGAGGTTGAGAGCATTGCCTGCTCTTCCAAAGGTCCTGGGTTCAGTTCCCAGCAACCACATGGTGGCTCACAACCATCTGTAACGAGGTCTGGTGCCCTCTTCTGGCCTGCAGGCATGCACACAGACAGAGTATTGTATACATAATAAATAAATAAATAAATAAATAAATAAATAAATAAATATTTGAAAAAAAAGAAAAAATACTTCAAATGAAAAAGTAGACAATGTAAAAACACTCTCATTTGTATTTTTATTGAAGTTCATCTCTTCTCCATTAGAGAATTAACATCTATGTCATCTTTTCCCCTTCTTCCTTCCTTCCTTTCTTTTTTTGAAATAGTCTCTCTATGTAACTCTAGTTATCATGAAACTAGGTCTGTAGACCAGGCTGACCTTGAACTCACAGAGATCTTCCCGCCTCTGTCTCTCCATACTGGGATTAAAGGCATGTGCCATTACATCTAGCTCCTTTTTCTTTTTCTTTTTTTAAGAGAGGGTTTCATGTAAGAGCCCTTGCTAGTATTGAGGTAACTGAGAATTTTTGAGCCCCCACACCCTAATTGCTGTGATTCTAGGCATGGGCCATGACATCTGACTTCCTAGCAGAGCTTGTGTGTGTGTGTGTGTGTGTGTGTGTGTGTGTGTGTGTGTGTGTACGTGCGCAGGAGGCCAAAGAGTGATGTTGTTGAGAAGCTCACTTTTGTGTGTTTAAGACATCAAACACTAATTCAGAAAACGCCCCACAGGCTTGCCCATGGGCCAGCGTTACAGAAGTACTTTCTCTCAGATGTGTCTAGGTTTGTGTCAAGTTTACAAGAACCAACCGCATAGGATCTCACTTTAGAGAATAAGTTACATAATCACTGTATTCACGAGGAGGAGAAATTCTTGGTCAATTGATGCATTTATTTCTCTCTTCCTAGAGCCAGTCTTTCTCTAAGTCTCCTCTTCCTCGACCTCTGTCCAGATCATGATCTGTAGGATCTTGATGGAGGAGTCATGAGATGCTGTCACCAGAAGTTTTATACAGCTAATCTCCTTCACAGCATCTTCTTCGTAAAATACCATCTGGTCCAACTGCCCTCTCACCACAGGTCCTACCAAGGTATAGTGAGCGCAGCGTTTGGGGTAGTCCATGAGGCTATAGCCCAGCAGTATCTGTCCCTGTTGTAAGAAGTTCATCTTACTGTGAGCAGAGCCCGTCAGCACTGCTACCCGGATGACTTTTTGTGGCTTATCCAGAACCACCAGCAAGTAGTTACCTTCCAAAGGGTTCATGACCCATAAGCAGTCATCGTTGAGAATGTAGGCATATTGTGGGATGGTATTCCAAAACGAGAGCATGTCTGTGAAGACAGTAGCGGCAGGGTTGTCTGGTTCCCCCAAGTCCTTGTCCTGCTCCTCAGGAAAGCACGTGTCTTCAAACTCAGAGTAATTTCCCATGTGGTAGAAGATGGAGGAACTGAAGCGAATTGGAACATTTTGAGACAAGAGAAGACTGAATTCAGAGAGAAGCAAGTGAGTGGGAACGTCCTTGGGGAAGAGGAGCAGGAAGGAGGTCAGGCGGGGGAGGTCTCTGGTGTGGAAGACCTTCCCAGAGATCTTCATGCCTGAGAAGTCCAGGATCACCCAAGGGAGCTCTTTCCAGGCTGACACCGCCCAGTAGATGTTAGACACGAACCTGGGGGCACACCTCACATTATCTCCTAGCAACAGGAAGTAGTCAGAGAGGTTGCTGGCAAAATTCATGAGGAGGACAGAACTTGTTTTCTGCATAGCATAAAGCTCTCCACAGGGTGAGCTATGATTTCTGCTCTTTGCTAGGGAGCCACCAAGCAGACCGTGGACCACCGCCAGCCTCCCAGATTCAATGTGTGGCGTGAAGAGACCTGAAATGTTGGCAACTATTTGGTTGAGCCATGTGGGGTCAGTGTCTGACAGGAGGACCAATACCAGCATATATTTCAGGTCCTGTTCTGAGGAAGCTTGGAAAAGAGACTTCAGGGTGTCCAAGAGGTAACTCCCATGGGTTCGCTGCACTGAGGAGATCCCCACGGTCAGCAGCCCTGAGAAATACAGGGATACCCTCAGTACTTCAGCAAGGTAGGTGGTTCCCAGGACTTCCTTCCCAGCCCCTCACCTAAGCCAAGCTCACATCTTCTTCTCAGGGGAGTATAGGTTTGTGGGAGGTGAATACCTGCTCAGTGGTATAAAGTCTCACTTGTCCATTCAATACTTTGAAAGGCTCATGGGAGAAGCTTCACAGAGGATAAGGTTTTCTTTGTATGAAAGTAGGTAGCTACTGCCACGTAAGCAAATGATCTTTGCCTGGACCTTCAGAGTTATCTCAACTACTGTGGTTTACCCAGTCCTGGACTAGAGCATCCTCAGGCCCCTTTAAATCCGCACGGCTGGCCAGTCCAGTTCACTGGGTTGTGCAGTTCAGAGGACCATAAATTCACACTCCCTTCTTTTTTGACTACCGGCTTCTTCCTCCACCCACGTTCCAAGTCCCCCTGGTTCCTCTTCCATCCATCCATCCTTTTCCTGGAAGCCTGGAATGAATGAGTGTCACCACAGGTTCTCTCACAGAGTTACTCTGGCCTTTAGGTCCTGCTGGGCATTCAAGGGGGAACAGGGGGAGGCAAAGTGGAACCTGTCCTAGCTAGTCCTCACTCAGTGTACTTGCTTCCCTCGAGCTGCCAGCTCCGTCCTTCAGACCCCACTCTCCTTTTCTGGTTGAAAGACTTTGCCTGGCCATCTCCAAGCCTAATGGCTCTTCTCACAGACTCACACTTTCCCTGGGGAGAGGTTCCAGCCAGAAGCGTGTAGTTGGCACGCTGGAGTACTTGGGAATTTTCCTGCATCTTGGTGAAGTATTTCATGTGGCTCTTGACTTCAGAGCTGATCTGTTCCTGAGCGATCTGCTGTATTATTTTTTTCTTTTCATTCTGAATATAAGACGGTATATTATCAATCCCAAGGGCAAGTCTTAGGATCCTCTGGAGACAACTGGCACACGGCCTCTCCCAGGAGCCATTACAGCTTTCTGCCATCCCCACCTGGTCATGAGTCCCACACAGAACTTTTCAGCCACAGCCACGTGGCCTTGGAGTCCTATAGAATGAGAACCTGCCCGCCAAGCCGCTGCCCATGTGTCATTGCGGGCAAACATGGTCTAACTTGGCTCAGGCCTCTGCTGGGTTCTGAGAGACAGAGCCTGGCCGTCTTTAACGTCCACCCCACGCTGCCTCAGCCTGAAAGCCCTTTACTTGCTCAGTCTCACCTCACACAGCTCTGCTGCCCAAAGCCTCAGCTGCCCTGTGTGTGCGCTGAGGTTTACACTGCAGGACGTACTTCTGATTTCTCATAGGAGAAAGGGGAAGACTAGCATCTGCCTTGGCGTGTCTGCTGACACCTCCTGGTCAGTACCTCCACCTCCTACGGTGGCTGTGCTTCACCTTGTGTCTGGAATGCCTGATCCTCTTCCTGCCCTCCCCCAACCCTATCTGTCTTGAGTCCAGTTCCAAGGTAACCTCCTCTCTGGCATGTCTGGATGCCTCAGATGCGCCCCTTTAGGGTGCCCGTGATGATCCTAGAGGCTTTAGCCCTTTCCTGTGAAGGGAGAAGCTTCTAGGTCTGGTACTCACCAGTGATGCGTTGGACTCCACACGAGCTGCCTTATTTTCCCCACTGAAGAACCCCAGGATGACTAAGGAGGCCAGGACTCCGACGCATCTCCACAGGCAACCTTGCATGGTGTGGAGCGGCTGTGGAAGGAAGGTGAGCAGAGTAGATCCCGAGGGCCTCTTATTCAGAGAGCAGGGATGCCCTGCCCGCCTGGCATGCCATGTCCTGAGCCCACCCTTCCTGGACTGAGCTTTCTCAATGCCTGCTTATTGTCTTAACCTTTTCCGTCCAAATTTTCTCTTGCCCCTGCGTTTAGCCATCTCAAGAAAATCAACAAACAAAGGTTTCATTCCGTGGAGCTCTTGCCTTCTCCATGCTCCCAGGTGAACTGCAGAGGGCATGTTGCCAAGAAGGGAAAATGGAGGCTGTAGAGATGGCTCCATAGCTAAAGGCACTTACTATCAATCCTGATGACCTGAGTTCTACCCTGCGATCTACATGGTGGAAGGAGAGGACCGACTCCTGGAAATTGTCCTCTGACCTCCACATGGATGCTGTCATGTGCATGTGCCTACATATGTGTACACAATACTTAAATTAAGTGAATACTTGACTTTCTGACACTATCCTGCCTTGTGAACTCTGTTCCCATATAACTTTGTTTACTCCCTTGGGAGGAATGCCCTGAGCAAGGTGTTTCCTCTCTCCTTCTCAGCAGTGTAGCTTAGTGTGCTATAGGCATTGTGTAAACAGCCCCATTTCACCATGAGACCGTCTGTATCCTGCCGACGGTGATGAGAACCACTCAGTATGTTTATCGCTGTTTCTCTGTGAGCTCGCTGGGATAAAAGTTTCACAGAATTCTGGTAAAGGCACTAGCCTAGAGTCCTCTGGTTCTGTCCAATCTCAAATTCAACTTCCTTGGCAACGATCACTGGCAGGTTGTAATAGTAATACACTTAAAAAAAAAAACTGTGTATAGGTATTTCCCCTGTAAGTATGTCTGTGTGCCATATGTGTATTTGGTGCATGCAGGGGCCAGAAGAGGGTGTCAAATCCCTTGGAATTGGAGTTGCAGATGGTTGTGAGTCACTGTGTGGGTGCTGGGAACCTGAGTCCTTCGGAAGAGCAGCCATAGCTCATGACCACTGAGTGTAGCCCCCATAATAATTTTCTAAATGGATGAGGTGGTGGTGGCGCACACTGTTAATCCCAGAACTCAGGAGGCAGAGGCAGAGGCAGATGGATCTCTGAGTTCGAGCCTAGCCTGGTCTAACAGTGTGAGTTCCAGGACAGTCAGAGCTACACAAAGAAACCCTGCCTCGGAAGAAAACAAAAACAAAACAAAATCTAAATGAAGAGGAAATTTAAGGTTAAGTGTTAATTATATTCCCGCCCATGTATCAAATTCAGACCAACATTTTCCAGTAGGGGTTAGTGATAAATATATTAGCTCTCATCTCTCAACTCCATACTTACTTTTGGACCCGATCCTTTCCAGGACTGTGTCAAGCAGACAGACAAGGTTTTGTGTGAAGTCAGTAGGACTTGGTGTATCTACTCCATGGTGGACTGCAGGGATCCATACAAACCTGGAAGAAACCAGAAATTTCCACCCAGGACCACATCTTCACCAGGTTTTGGGTGCAATATCCATTGAAGCCTTTCTGCCCACAGGAAATGCGGCTTGAGGGTTAACTGGATCAGGATTTTCTCTGAAACCAAGAAGAAAAATAAACTTAATGCTGAAGGATGTAGTCCCAGAGTGGCTTCTCTGAGGTTGCTGAAGCTAGTCACCCTCGCCAGGAAACCCCACCTGACAACCATTGTTCAGCCTGAATGGTGCTTTGTGTCAATCTGGCCTTACATCAGGTGCCTGCTGCTAGGTGAGATAGGGACATAGTTTTCAAACTGTCTTTTCACTCTTGTGACTTGAAATTGGAATGTTACCTATTAGTTTGAGTCAACAAGTGTGGATTCTGAGTTATCCCTTTCTTATCAGAGGGCCCCACGGGCGGTCAGCATTGCCCATGTTCTCACCTGCTGGCTGTGCTAGCTGGTGGATTACCACACAATTGTTCTCAAGTATCTAGCTCTCCTTTGGACTTAGAAGTGTCCAGTGAGTGGCCCTCCGAAGTTTCCTTTTATATCTCTTTATCTGTCCTTTTTCACTGTTGGGACTGCATTTTCAATACTATTGCCCCCACCCACCCCGTGGAGGTCTGAATGAGAATAGCCCTTGTAGGTTCATGTTTGAATACTTGGTCCCCAGTTGGGGGAACTGTTTGGGAAGGAAAAAGGTGTGGCCTTGATGGAGGAGGTGGGTCACTGGAGGTGGGCTTTGAGGTTTCAAAAGCCTGGTGCCACCCTCCTTGTCTCTCTACCTCGTGGTTATGTCTCAAGACGTGAGAGCTGCCTGGAACCTACTGATATGCTCCCCACCATGATGGGCATGGCCTCCAACCCTCTGAAATGCTAGGCCCCAAATAAATCCTTTCTTGTAAAGTTGCTTTATCGTGTCTTATGACAGCAATAGAAAAGTAACAAAGGTGTTCCTTCCCCTCCCCCCTTCCTTTTCCTCATCTCCTTTTCCTTGTCCCCATTGTCCTCTCTATCTACAGGAAACTATGAAGGATCAGCTATGTCCTCATTGCTATAGTTGGTGCCTGGGCTACAACTTGATTCCTATTTTAAGTTCCTTTTTCTATCACCTCAGCAGGTCTTGGTCTGGTGATATGATCCAAGCCTACATCCCAAAGAGTCTGAATCATTGTCAATGACCCCTTTGAACTGGGTTTGCTGCATGCATCTGTACCTTCCCAGAATGTAAAAATATCCCTCAACATTGGACTTCAGTACTTCGATAGGTGGACCTCGGTGGTGGTAGTACATGCCTTTAATCCCTGAACTTGGGAGGCAGAGACAGGTTGAGCTCTGTGAGTTCGAGGCCAGACTAGTCTACAAATCGAGTTCTAGGCCAGTCAAAACTACACAAAGAAACCCTGCCTTAAAAAAACAAAATAAAATAAAAAAACCCAAAATATGTGAGTGGAAACATCAGGTAGGAAGGTTACGGCAAAGCGGGGCCATCTCAGCCCTAGTCTCAGATGCTATCTGACAGCGTTCTAGCCTTCTGATCAGTGGAAGCCAGGGGTCTCTTTGTATATGCCTAGGGATACCTAAGTCATTCAGAGGTAGCTAGTAAATGGCTGGCAAGCGGTCAGGATAGCGCTGGATTATTCATAGTTAGGCCTGGACCTATCTCATTCCGGCCTCTGTGAAATCATCGACATTCTAATCAGTCTGTGATCAAGCCAGTATGTCTTCCTCCCAGAGACTTCCAGGCACCATTGCAATGGCCATGCTACAATTCTGTGCTCCCACAGCCAAGCTGCCTTTGGAGACCAGAGGACAAGCCTGTGGATTCCAGGGAGAGAACTCATGCCATGGGGTTGGCATAGGGTTGGCAGTAAGGGCGTGTACTCACTAAGGCATCTTGCTGGCTGTACACAGACTGTTTTCTTTTAAAGAGCTGTTTGCCTTTACTCTATGTGTGTGTGCATCATGAGTATGCCTGGGACCTGTGGAGACTAGACAAAGGGTGTTGAGTCCCCCGGAACTGAAGCTGCAGGTGGTTGTGGGCCACTTGATGTGGGTGCTAGAAACTAAATCAGGGTCTTTTTTATAAAAGAGCAGAAAGTGCTCTTAACCACTGAGTCATCTTTCCAGCCCACGTATTGTTCAATACATTAAACAGAATGTATTTCTTTGGCAGAACAATGTAGGAGAAACAGCTGTTGGAAGCTTCTTGGACTTCACATGGTGGGCTACATCATCCAGAGCTGAGCATCATCAGCTGTCTGGAGAAAAATGTAAACCAAAGGCACATGCCTTCAATCCCAGCACTCGGGAGGCTGAGGCAGGATGTATCTGTGAGCTGGCTATCAGTCAGGGCTCATGGGAGACCATTTCAAAAAACAAACATAAGCAAATGTTAGCATTACCACATCGATTTTACTTTTGGTACGTGCCCAAGAGAATTGAAGTATAGGCTCACCCCAAATTTTCCCATGAATGTTCCAGAAGCATTGTGCAAAATAGCTCAATGCCCAGCCCGGTATGGTGGTGCAGACCTGTAATCCCTATACTTGGGAAGTGGAGGCAGGAGGATCAGGAGTTCAAGACCACACTAAGGTACATAGTAAATTTGAGGTCAGCTTGGGCTACATGAGACTAGCCTCAGAAAACCACTGACAACAAAAATAGTCCAAAATAGAAACAATTCAAATATCTACCAACTGATAAATATAAACAAATATGATATCCATCCAATGATGTGTCACGTGATGTATTTGCATTGCTGTTGCCACATACATGACATGGAGAACTTAAAGGAAGATAAAACTGGGGGGCCTTGCAATTAGAGTGTCTGGTGGCAGCATCATCCCCGTCGCTCTGGGCCTATGGGGAGGCAGAGTCTCATGCTGTGTGTGACTGTGATAGTGGGTACACACAGCGTGGCTGACAGGAAGCAGAGAGGGACTGTAGGAAGCCGCCAGAGCAGAGCCAAATCCCCAAGGACAATCTCACAGTGACCTAATTCCTCCAGCTAGGTCCCACCCATTTTTCACCACCTCCTAACAATAACATCATATTTATTAATCCAACAAGTGGTTATGCTACTGTCTAGACCAGTCAGATCCTCAGGATTCAGTCACCTCCCCAAAGCCCATCCTCTGACAACTAAACCTTGAATACATGAACCTATAGGGACATTCCATATTCAAAATCAAAACATTCTGCATTTGTCCCTGAAATGCTCATGGATATCTTAAAATGGAGTAAAAAACCTTTAGTTTATCTCCAAGAGTTTCTGAAATCTTAAACAGTTCCAACATTATTCAAAATTGTAAGTACAACATTTCTTTGTGTCTTAAAGAAGCTAGACATTGTGGGGTGCATGCCTTTAATCCAAGCCCTTGAGAGGTAGAGGCAGGCATATCTCTGAGTTTGAGTTCAGCCTGGTTGACAGAGTGAGTTTCAGGACAGCTGGGGCTACACAGAGAAACCTTGTCTCAACAAACCAAAAAACAAACAAACAAAACACAAAACAAAAAAAAAAAAACCCAAGAAATAAGTTATGTAACTCCAATGGTACAGCGGAAATAGTCTTATTCTAAAGGGGCATTGAAGAAAGGAAGACTGGGACCAAAGCAAGGAAACCCTTCAGGCCAAGCATGAGATCCTGTAGATTCTGGAATCTGGGGCACACGGCACTGTCTGAGCCCCAGTGGTGTAGCCAGCTCCGCCAGCATCACTTCCCACTTGCCGTGCACACGGCCTGGTGGCCGGGGACTCTCTTCAGCTTATGTCTCACACATCTGGCATTTCCAACATCCTGGAGATGCCACTGAAGCTTACACTTTACCGTCCTAGCTTCAAAAATCTCCTTTCTTGGGCTGGAGAGATGATGGCTCAATGGCTATGAGCACTAGCTGTTCCTCTAGAGGACCCAGTTCAATTCCCAGGAACTTTTTGGTAGCTTACAACCATCTATAAATTGTTTCAGGAGGTCTGATCCCCCCTTCTGGCTTTCTCAGGTACTGCAGTCACACTGTAAGCATACATGTAGGCAAAATACATATACACACGAAAGTAAACAAATCTTAATAAGAAAGAAAGAAAAAAATTCCTTTTCACAGCTCCCTGCAGAAATCCTGACTATGCTACACATGATCGATCTGATCTCCCAGGCTTTGAACTCTTTGTGCAAGCCTCCATGATCTGTAACTCTTGTATTCTGTTTGTCTGCAAACTCAGTATGGTGAATGACACCAGGGTTTGCTGCCAGATCAAGTGCACACCTCTAATCCTAGCACTCAGGAGGCAGAGGCAAGCTGGTCTCTGTGAGTTCTAGGCCAGCCTTGTCTACATAGTGTGTTCCAGCAAAGTCAGGGATATGTAGAGAGATACTCTGTCTAAAAAGCAAGCAAACAAATTAAAAAATAAAATAAAATAAAACCTATATTTTCAGATTTTTTTTTAGTGGATGAAGTTCCAATATTGTGTGACTTTATTCTTGGGGAGATGTGAAGAAATGTCTGCTCCCCTCAGATAGGGCACCCATGACAGGCCAAAATAAGGATACCACCAAAGTCCATGAGCATGAATCCATCGGTTTTTATTGGGGTTACTACTAGGATATGGGTGAGGGGCTAATTGTAGGACCAGGATGACTCAAAAGCAGCTGCAGCACTAAAAGACCACAGCAGCAGGGGTGACATCCCAGGACAGCTGGGAACCACAAAAGCTCACCACACAATTACTGGCAGCTTCACAGGCCGGAGATCTCTTTCAGGCAGGCAGTTGGTCTGGGGCTTTTCCAGGCAGCTGGTTTGGTCTCTGTCTTCCTGGCTGCTTCGCTGATGTCTCTCAGCAGTCTCTCAGTCCTTACTGTTTATAAAGCCTTGGGAAGGGAAGGGCCTAGAACATTTGGTCAGTTTCAGGGACATCCTAAGAGTTCTGAGTTGTTAATTTCCTGGGGTTTAAGCCCCTCCCTTTAGAACTTCTTGAGTCTTAATGGGCTGCTTTCCAAGATGAAAGGATTTTTTTTTGTTTTTTGTTTTTGAGACAGGGTTTCTCTGTGGTTTTGGAGCCTGTCCTGGAACTAGCTCTTGTACACCAGGCTGGTCTCGAACTCACAGAGATCCGCCTGCCTCTGCCTCCCAA